TAAGGTCACTTGCAGGAAAAGAGCCAAGCCACAAAATGTGGTGGCACGTTGGTCTTCCATCTCTGCGTCTCCAGTGCTGGGTGGGTGGGATTGGCCTCCCGAAGAGGAAGGGGCAGCATTGAAGGCTGGCCTGGCTTTTTATTTTTTAAAGAAGGTTTTGTTTTGAGATGGTTTTAAGAACCTCCATTATTATTATTCTAAAGAGGCAGGGGTTTTTTTTGCAGCCATCGTGGTCTTTTTAAGCTCCCCTGCTGGAGGATAAAATTTTCTGGCATGTCCCTCCAGTGCATTAACAGGGATTCAGGGCCAGCTGGAACAATGCAGCCCCTTCCTCAGCCCTCCACAAGTGGCAACAGCTGTCCAGTTACACCCCCCCCAAAATCTGTCCATCCATCAGTCTCCATTGGAAAAATCCAAGTCTTCCACCACGTCCTCTTCTCCTCTTGCCAGCCGTTGCAACTCTGCCCGAGACAGTGGTTTTCGAAGGTGGTGGCTCCGTTGGGGCACGGCCCTCTCGCCTCCTGGAGAAGGAAGAAAAACAGGGGTGTCAATCCAACCTCAAAGGGGAGAGGGGACACAAAAAGGCAGCTGGGTGCTAATTAATCATCTGTGCTAATTAAAGGATTGCCTGCAGGGCACAGGAGGGGGTGAGATGGAAATGGGGAGATGGGCAGCATACAAGTTTAATAAGTAAAGCAATAAATAAACCAAAGCACCTGGGTGTTTAGAATGGGGATGGAGGATCAAGGAGAAGAAAATTTTTATTTCCCTTTCCCCCCATTTTGTTGGGGGGGGGGGGACAACAACTCTATAAAGGCCTCCAAAACTCACATCCTAGAAATAAGGGGGGAATTGGGCTCCTCTCCAAATGTTTCTGAATGAGCTCTTGCAATCTACGGAGGTGAATTTAGAAGCATGCTCTTCCCTCTTAAAATGGCCTAGGGTGTTACTTCTTTAACTTTATATGCGTCTCTCGCTTAAGCAACAGATATTTTCGGGCTCAACTGTGGTCATAAGTCAAGGACTTGCTATATGACATTAACTTCTACTTTAAAATGGATACACTCCATTCCCAGGCCATGTTTCCATAAGGACTGCTAATAAAACAGCCGATTTCCAAGTTTGCAAAGCTTTTCACACACACAATACATTTAAATCAACTTTCCAACAGGCCAAATGATCCATAAACTGCAAACAAACAAACAAAAAAACACCACCCACTATCCCCTGGACAAGGCCTGCAAGAAGAAATGACCCAACACTCACACACACACACACACCCAGGGCCCCTGGTCCCCCTGGTCCCCCTGACCCACCACCGTCCACCTGGCATGGGAGCTCCTGCAAACCCCACCCAGCCCCACACCTGTGCATGCCCCACCTCCCCCCCCAGCAAAGCCAATGTAACCAAGCTCCATAAGGCCCCCTTGCAAAAAAACGCCAGCCAGGTGACTAGATCTCATGGGGGTCCCAGCTTCTGCCCAGGATTGGACTAGAAGACCTCCTTCCGGCTCTATTCTGACTGATATGGTCGAAGGTCTCCTGCCTGAGCTGGGGGTCAGACTAGAAGACCTCCAAGGGCCCTTCTGATGGAAGGATGGATGGAAACCGACCCATTGGAAGGCTTCGGCTGTTGCAAGACAACGGGCCCCCTCCCGCCTCTCTTCCTTTCCTCCCCCCCCCCCCGGAGGCAGCGGGGGGGGGGGGAGCAACGCCCCTGGGGGCCCCTTCCCCCCCCTCCCCCCACCCCCCCACCTCTAGGGGCAGCCCAACGGGGAGTCTCTTCTTTAACCGGCCCCCGTTCCGCCTCCTCCTGGCGCGGCTGCCCTTCCCGCCCTCCGTGTCTCTCCCCCCCCCCCCCCCAAAAAAACCCCCCCCCCCCCAACGACGCAGGCGACCCAGCGCCATTTTCTCCCCGGGCGCCACTCCGAAGCGGCTCCGGTTTGCCAACAGAGGGAGGGGAGGGGAGGGGACGGGACGAAGGAGGCCTCCCTTACCGGAACCGGGGCCGTGAAACCCTCCAGGCCCTTCCCGAGTCCCACCGTCCTCGGGGCCGTCGCGGAAGGCAGAGAGAAGCCGCTCAACAAGCCGCTGAGGCGCCTCACCAACCGCCACCGCCCCGCAGCTGCGCCGAAGGCCGGGCACGCCCTGCGCAGGCGCACGTGGCTTGCGGGGTCACGTGCCCGTGTGGGCGTGGCTTGGCGGTATGTCACGGGGCTGGGAGCGGCCTGGTGGTCACGTGCCCGGGTGGGCGTGGCTTAGCGGCATCTCACGGGGTGGGCGCGGCCTGGTGGACCACGTGCCTGGGTGGGCGTGGCTTGGCGGCCATGTGACGGGCTGGGCGCGGCCTGGTGGTCATGTGGCAGAGTGGGCGTGGCCAGTTCAATGATTATTCATATTTCTATTAACTGTTGCGATTCCTTCCCTGCGCCTGCAATGACGCAAAATGGCCACGAGATGGCGGGCTATTATTGCTAATGCAATTTCCCATAGACTTAGAAAACCGCGGTTTTCATGTAATTTGAGGTCTATTTTCACCCCGTTTTCCCCTCTAGAGCAATGGGGGACTTAGAGTAAGGTCCCTCGTCGGATTTCGCCACATCTGTAACCTGATTATTTTTATTTATATTAACTTTCGCGATTCCTTCCCTGCACCTGCCATAACGAAAAACCTCCACCAGGTGGCAGGCTGTTATTGCTGTGCAATTTCTGTACTTCACCTGCCATGACGCAAAATGGCCACGAGATGGCGGGCTATTATTGTTAAGTTCTTTCCTCCACCTGCAATGACGCAAAATGGCCACGAGATGGCGGACTATTATTTTTAAGTTCTTTCCTCCACCTGCAATGACGCAAAATGGCCACGAGATGGCGGGCTATTATTGTCAATGCAATTTCCCAGACTTTGAAAACCGCTTTTTTCATGTAATTTGAGGTCCATTTTCACCCCGTTTTACCCTCTAGAGCAATGGGGGACTTAGAGTAAGGTCCCTCGTCGGATTTCGCCAGATCTGTAACCTGATTATTTTTATTTATATTAACTTTTGCGATTCCTTCCCTGCGCCTGCCATAACGAAAAATATCCACCAGGTGGCAGGCTGTTATGGCTGTGCAATTTCCGTACTCCACCTGCCATGCGCAAAATGGCCAGGAGAGGGCGGGCTATTATTCAGGCCACTATGCCCCAATAGCCACTGGAGGGCACCGTTTCCATGCTCTGTAATGGTCTAGTAGCCTCTCAGGCCTTTATGCTGAAAATAACCACCAGAGGGCACTATTTCTATTCTGTTCTACACATAGACTTATAAACCTCTTTCCAGCTGCTATGTCCAAAATAGCCACCAGAGGACACTCTTTCCATGCTCCCTTTCAGATCACAGTAAAACAATTGCAGTAATCTACTTCAGTAATTAACAACTAATTAAGTAATCTACTTAACTGTCAAAAAAGGTCATAAAACGGGGCAAAGTTCCCGTTTCACTTACCAACATAAATTTTGGGTTCAATTGTGGTCTTAAGTCAAAGACTACCTGTATGTAGTTCCTTTCAGGCTGCTCTGTACAAAATAGCCACTCTCTGCTCTTCTCTCGGGTGCTGAAAATATCCGCTTTGTGAGGTATAATAATAATGGATTACCGGCCGTTGTCACCCATCCCCAGAGCCTTCCTTTCTCACATCTTTGGTTTTGTGAAGAGAGGTACACTGCCCCTGATTTCACCTTCCACTGAACAGTCCCACTTGAGAGGCCAAAGGATCACAATCCGACTCGTGTCAAATCTGTGTCAACTCATAAAATATTTCTCTGGTCTTTTTAGAGTTGCCAAGAGAAAGCGAGGGGGGAGCAGTGGGGCAGCTTGCAAAACCAAAAGTGCATTCCATACATGTTTTCAAAGATAGTAACTAGGTGTGAAGTTGCTGCTGTGCAAAATTCTATCTGGAGAGCATGAGGGATGACTCTGGGCTATGGAGGTGTCCCATTGGAGAATATGAATTATGATACACCCAGGAGGTGGGGGAAAAACCAGGGTCAAGGGTGATTATGTGCTTCAGAGTCATCTGCACCCAGGCAGTGCTGGCATGTTAACTCTCAATAAATCCTTTTGAAGTTTTGGAAGTTTGGCTCGAGACTCATGATTGAAATGGGCTTAAATGCCGGAGCCCTGACAACCTGGTTTCTCTCTTATTCGTGCTTCCCGGGTCAATTTTTCATCTTTTCGTTGGAATTCTGCCTTGGGCTCCCTTTCCTTTCCACTCAGACGTCCACCGAGCCCCGGGGGGGCAATTTCGAAGGCCGATTTCTATGTTCAGAGATTGCCTTCCCGCGCTACAATTATCTAAAGGGCTGCCCCAAAGAAGAGAGGGTCAAGCTATCCTCCACAGGGGCTGAAGGCAGGAACAGAAGCAACGGGTGGAAACTCATCAAGGAGAGAAGCAATCTAGAACTAAGGAGAAACTGGAACAATTAATCCGTAGAACACCTTGCCTGCAGAAGTTGTGAATGCTCCAACGCCGGAAGTTTTGAAGAGGAGATCGGGCAGCCACTTGTCTGAAATGAGCAGGGGACTGGACTAGAAGACCTCCAAGGTCCCTTCGACTCCGTGATTCTGCTCACTAGCCCACCGATTTGGCCCCCTCCTTAAGAGCCCCTCATTGCGAGAGTCAAGTCTTTGTGAGTAAGGAAGAAATGCTACCGGCCCATAGAAAAAAGGCTTGTGCAGACGTGTTGTATTTTTTGCCAGCAAACATTCACGACTTCATGTTGAAGGACGCACCCTCTCTCTCTCTCAGGCACACACACACACACACACACAAGCACACACCTGTCCCTCCCTCCATCAGGGCTTCCTTGGCCCGTAAGATCCCTTTTCCGCTGGCCTTCCCGATACCCAGGCTGGTGCGGCACCAGCTCTTGCTCTGGGCTGGCCCCTCCCTCCCGGGAGGGCAGAGCCAAGTCCAGACCCCGCCTTTTAAAGTGCAAGAATATTTCTTTTCCACAGGACGGAAGGAAACATGCTCGTTCGGGAAGATTGCTCCTCTTTTTGACACTGGAGAAAGCTAGGAAGGAAAAGCTAATTACCCCACATCTCCCCGCCCCAAAGTCTCTGTAGTTTGGATCTTCTCTCTTGGCTCGCTCCGGACTCCCCCAACCCGAAGCCAAATTCGAACCCAGAGGAGGGAGGGGCAGGACAACGGTTGGGGGGGCGGATGGTGGCAAAGCCAGTTCCTCAAACGAAGATCGGGATCCTCTCGCGGATGGCTTGTCGGCAGATGGGACAGACGTTCAAGGAGACGCCACACTCTTGGCACGACCCGTGTCCACACTGGTAGATCACCCTGATGTGGCTGTCGATGCAGATGGGGCAGGTGATTCGCTCCTCCATCTGCCGGTAGCGGCTCTGGAGATCCTCCATGAGCTTCTGTTGGTTGGTGACCTCGGGGCCCGACCCACCGTCAACTTCAGAGTTGTCTGTGGCGGTGAGAGGAGGGGGGGGGGAGGAGAGGAAGGAAATCTGGAAGAGCAGTGCAGCAGCTTGAAAGCGATAGTACATTTCGACTCTTCTCTTTAAAAGATTGTAACTAACCCACCAGAGCGTTTGCCCGCGAATATATTTAATTGGAGAACGTGAATGATGACACCCAGCCTGTGAATGTGGCTCAATTGGAGAATCTGATTTATGACACACCCGGGGGGGGGGGGGAAACAGGGTCAGAGGGGACTGTAAATGACCTAGGCCAGAGTTGGCTTCATACAGGGCAGGGCCAGTATGTCGCCTCTAATAAAATCCTTTGAAGTTTTTTGAAGTTTGGCTCGAGAATCGTGATTTAATTAGGGCGATTTCTGGAATCCTGACACCCCCGAGGAAAACTGAAGGAGGAGGAGGGCAAAGGAAAACGAAGGGAGATTTTGGTCTCACCATTCCTGAATGCTGATCATCACAATTGGATGTTCCCAGTGTGGTCTCTATTCTACTCTTGTTGGCTAAAAGCAAGGGAAACGCCCACAAAGATATCAAGCGATCATGCTCACCTTGTTTCAACTTTTTGGTAATGGTGACTTGGCATTTGATGCATTTCTTCATTCTTCTGGAACATTCTGTTTCCGGGGAGAGAAGTTGGGAGAGGAGAAAAGGTTGGGAGAGACGTGGCTTTTAGAGACAAGCTTCCAACAAACTCTCATTCTTTACTTTAGGGCAGGGGTATAAATGTAAGGGACATCGCTTCGGCCTGGTCTACCCAACGCAAGCTGGCCATGTCCACCCAGTCAGCCACACCCACCCAGTCGGCCTTGCCCAGTGAGTGGTGTCAATTTGGCCACACTGCCCCCTCCCCGAGGGTCAACCAGAGCCGTGATGTGGCCCTCAATGAAATTGAGTTTGATACCCCTGCTTTGGGGGTGGGGGGGTGGAACAGGAAGTAAGAAATAGGTGTTTCAGTTACGGGATACGGGAGTTAAACGCAGCGGTACCTTCGCACACAATGCTGTGTTGACAGGGGAAGAAAAGGACCAGCAGCGCCAGTTCCGAGCAAACCAAGCACTCCGAAGGGGCAACCACTTTTGGCACGCTGAGGTTTGTCATGGTGTTGGGGGTGGTGTGGACTCTTCTCAGGCTGCTGGTCACGGTGGAGCTCTCGAAGGAGTCGTGCTGCTCTCTGGGGCAGAAAGAGGCCATGTTAAGATTAGACAGCGGCATGGAGTGGAGTGTTGCGGTGGCTTAGAGGTGGAGCTCTCGCCTCACAATCAGGAGGCTGTGAGTTCGATCCTAGGTAGAGGCAGATATTTTTCTCTCTCTGGGCATAATGAGAATATTATCTGCTGAACAAAAACTCCGTATTGGCGACAGGGAAGGGTATCCGGCCAGTAAAAATGTTGCTAGCTCCATTCAGTTGCTCAGACTCAAGGGATGATGGAATCATTAAAAGATGATGTAGGTGTGGCTGCAATTCAGCAGAATCCAACATCTTTTGACAGCTAAGCCCCATTTCTTTATGAGAGGGTGCAAGGGCCATTCGGAGCGTCGCAGAAGGGCTCCAATTTTGAAAGGGGAGCCGTGCTGAGTGATCC